ATATATATAGGATAAGCACTCGAACTCAAGATCAGTTTGAACTGCAAAGTTGGCTTTTCAAACTCACCAGATGCTCCTTGGAAGCCTGTCGCTATAAGTTAGAATCACCCAATGGTACGTAACAGCATCAACTATATGTATTTATATGTATACACACACACACGTATAATGGGAGCCCTGGTATTGTAGTGGGTGTCACATTGGGCTGCTAAATGCAAGGTCAGAAGTTCAAATCCACTAGCTGTTCCATGGAAGAAAATGAGGCTTTCTGTTCCCATAAATACAGCCTTGAAAACTATACAGGGTTTCTATGAGTTAGAACCGACTCTATGTTAAACAACAAATATATATATATAACAACAACATATATATATACACACACACATGTATGTATGTGTACCCATATCTTCTACACTGACAAAATACTATAAATGGTTCCAGGGAAAACACACACATGAAAAATGTCCATACAGAAAAATCCGTGCAGAAAACTATGCACTGTAATAAATGCATACGAGCCGAATGTACGCAAGGACAACTGCTAAACTTAACCCTAATTAAATTAGTAGATGGATTTTTTTCTGTGTGGGCCTTTTGTGTGGGCTTTTTTCATGTGCCCATTTTCTGGCTCCCACTATAAATATATGTGTGTATGTATGAATGCAAGTTTTCAAAAAGTTTGTGAAAGTAGAATTGAAAGCTAGTGGAATTTTTCCACTAATTTTTTGAAGCCCCCTCATATATACAGGGAGTCCTGGTGTGGCGCTGGACTGTAAAGTCGGTTTGAACTGTAAGGTTGGTGGTTCAAGCTCACTGGCTGCTCCTCGGAAACCCTATACAGTGTCACTATGGGTCGGAACCGACTCGATGGCACTTCACAACAACAACAACCGTATATACACAGGGGTTTGTGTGTGTGTGTGTGCACGCACGTGCTACCGAGGGGCAATGAAAGCTTCATTGATTTCTTATTTTTTCATTTTATTTTAACTAAAGATTTTGGCTTAATTCTTAGAATAGATTTCTACCTCAGAAAAGGAATAAAGGAAAATCCAAGTGAGGTCATCCGAGATTCTGATTATTGGGTTTTTGAGGGTTTTAAATTTTAATGTAGAGGCAAAAAAGAAAACCAGCCATTAAAAGAAAGGAAAGCGTGTATTCCTTTTTATTTTTACATCCGGTCGCATGGTCTGCTCTTCCCCGTGTTCGCAGGTTTGCAGGGAATTCCAGCGAGGAAACTGCGCCCGCGGAGAGACCGACTGCCGCTTTGCACACCCTGCAGATAGTACTATGATCGACACAAACGACAACACCGTAACCGTTTGTATGGATTACATAAAGGGGCGTTGCATGAGGGAGAAATGCAAATATTTTCACCCTCCTGCACACTTGCAGGCCAAAATCAAAGCTGCGCAGCACCAAGCGAACCAAGCTGCGGTGGCGGCCCAGGCAGCCGCGGCTGCGGCCACAGTCATGGTAAGTGAGGGCCCCTCCCGCGCCATGCTCCGCCCACTGCCCTGCCAGGAGGAGCGGGTTAGAGCTGCTAGGGTCAATCTGCTTTTCCAAACAGTTAGGGAATCTGGAAGGCTGCTGTTCCCGCTGCTCTGCTGCCTAAGTTGTGTTGTTTCCCCCTTTTTATTTCGTTGTGTTTCCCCTTCCTTCACTTCTCCAGCACAATAAATAAATCCCTCAGGCACAGGTAACCAAATGTGTTCAGGGAGCTTTGTTGAGGACTGCCAGCTCTGTTGTGAGCTTGATTGCTTCTTAAGAGAGAGATCTCAGGAGCCCTGTAATGAACAAGAAGATGGGCACCAGAGCTGAAGAGACAGCTAAATTGAGCTGAACTGGGGCTGTTGCACATTACTGGAAAACAGCCGTTTCTGCAAGCAGCCACGGGATTTGAGGTCAAATTATAGAGCCGCATAGCAACAGTGACACACTTGGAGACCGGTTTCCTCTGTTCCTCCCCACCCTCTTATTTATCACAAGGGCACTGTTTGTCAAATATTCCCTCCCCAAATGAAATTTTATGCAGAATCATTCATGAAACAAATGAAAATGAGGCTGTGCTGGCTGGTGCTAGCTAAAAGGCCGGTAGCCCAGCCTGGGTCCCCTGGGTCACCTCTGTATAACCGACAGGCCCACGGAGATCAGCCTGAGCAGCAGTATGGTCACCTGTAAGTCTGCTAAAGCTCCTGCATCTCCCGGTGTCTGTCCCTTAGATCCCTGCATCATCATCATCATCATCACTATCACTTCATTACTTGTTGTTGTGAAGTGCCGTCGAGTCCGTTCCAACCCATAGCGACTCTGTCTGTATAGGGTTTCCAAGGAGCCGCTGGCGAGCTTGTACCACTGACCTTGCAGTTCAAACGACTTTGCAGTCTGACGCATTAGCCCACAGTGCCATACCAGGATCATTACCTGAGAACCCGTTAAAGCCCCAGAATCTTGGGCACCAACCCAGACCTTGTGGATCAGATTATGAATTTAAAGAATTTGAAAAATACCTGCCCAGAACATGGGTTCTCAAACTTGGCTCCATATTGGTATCACCTGGTTTGTTGGTGTTTATTTATTTATTTATGTATTTATTTTACGGGTTTGAGATGGATCTTTCCCACTACAGTTCCATTTATTTAATTGGCCTGGTATGCAGCCTGGACTTTGGAAATGTTTGAGAAAGTTTTCAGGTGATTCTGTTATGCAGAAAAGTTGGAAAAACCACAGCACTACATTGTAAAAATTTCTCCATTTGTTTTCATAGGAAATCTCTGGCTTACCAGACATCTGCTTTAATAATACGTCATAGGTTTGATGCATTCATCCACTCCTTCATTCAAAACCTTCATTGCGACCTGCCATGCCCCAGGCGCTTGCTTTGTAGAATAAATAATGTAGGCAACACTCCCTGCCCTCAAGGAGCTTGGGATTTAGTAAGGGACTATAATCTTCTTAAAAAGCCCTGGTGATATGGCCATTAGCGTTGGACTGCTAACTACAAGGTCAGCAGTTCAAATCCACTGGCCACTCCATGAGAGACTACTGGACATTCTGCTCCAGGAAAGATTTACAGCCTCAGAAGCCCTATCCCAATACAGGGCTGTTAGGAGTCAGAACCAACTCAATGGCACACCTCCACCACCATGATGCTCCCCAGTTACATGATGGAAATGTATAAGGGAGTCCAATGGGATAGCAAGGGCTCAGTGGCCAACCCTCCCTTGGGGGAAAACAGACAAGGCTTCTGAGATGAAAGGTACAGCTTAAAAACACAGTGTTCCATCTAGCAACCACAACATCAGACACTGAGAGCTAATCAAAGTGGAAGGGTGTCTGTCATACAAACACGTTCATAATCCCTTAGCATTCTTTCCATGAGTGTTGATAAAGCCCTGGCCCCATGAGAAGGACCAGAGAGACAAGCCTGTCTGCAAAGGATCAGCACTTGGTGTGAAGTTTGTGGTGAGACAGGCATCTCTCACATTATTTCCAAGCATGTTGACCACTAGGACTTCCATCAGTCTCTATCTCTTTAATGTGTTTTTGCATGTCGTTCTCAATATTATGTCATTAATATGTCTGTATCTGTCGCGTTGTATGCATCTACATGGAGAGTCAATGCAAAATAAAAACCTTTGCTGTTATTCCAATAAGTTTCAAAAACTGATTATAATTAGGGAATGGGTTAGGGTTTAGGGTAAATTGATAACTTCATGCTGATGAAAAAGGAATTCTTTCAGAGAGCAAATGAATTTTCTTTTATACATTTCTTCAGTGTGGAGTCTAGTTTCCCATCCAGTCAGTAAAGATCTCATCCTATGAGAAATAAATGGCTTTCCTTGTAATCATTCTTTTAAGCTAACTTCAACTTATCCTAATCACATTTTTTCCATAGAATTAGTATTGTATATCATAATTAGGTCTTAAAGATATACTCAAAGATAATCAGAATTCTGGCTGTAAGAGGCAAAACCCCAACTCAGTTGGCTTAAAAGAAAAAGTTAGACCTTGTTAGATCACATAGTACCCTCTGGTAGCTTAGTGGTTACGAATTGGGCTGTGAACCACAAGGTCAGCAGTTCAAAACTACAAGCTGTTCTGCGGGAGAATTTACAACCTCAGAAACCCTGTACAGGATCGCTATGAGTTGGAACTGACTCCACGGCACGTAACAACAGCAACATGTATGATAGGCATATTGGGAATTATGATTATCAGAATACTTTTGGAGTCCTGGTGTGGCGCTGTCGGTTAATGTGCCAGACTGCAAAGCCATTTGAACCGCAAGGTTGGCGGTTCTAGCTCACCAGCTACTCCTTGGAATCCCTGTACAGGGTCGCTATGGGTCAGAACCGACTCAACGGCACTTCACAACAACAACAACAGAGTGGTAGGTGTAAACTGGGCTAAAGCGTGAATCTGGATGTCTGGATCCAGGATCTGTCTTTCTCTTCTCTTGGCCTATCAGCTCCATTCTCTGAGGCCAGCAACTCCGCCTGATTCATATGAACACGTTTGTTCAGCTTTTGAGTAGATGAAACATTGTCTTCTCTACAAACACTATTTAAAGAAATGTAAACAAAACAGTTGAAAGAGTTTGGCGTCAGTCCATGTGGTCAAGATGATAGAATGCAAACATTGCTCAGCCTGGAACACGGCAGCTCGTGGACACTAGGGACAAAACTCTTTAAATATGTAAATAAATCAGCAAGTAAAGTCCCTAAACTATAAGTGTACAGGAGAAATATGAGGCTTTCTGCTCCCATAAAGATTTACAGCCTCAGGAACCCTATACAAGATTGCTATGAGTTGGTGGCATCAACCACCACCACCATCCTAGATTGCTTGGTGGTGCAAAAAGTTAATCGCTGACTACTTGCCAAGAGGTTGGAGGTTTGAATCAACTCAAAGGAGCCTTGGAACGTAGGATTGGTGTTCTGCTTCTGAAAGGTCATAGCCTTAAAACCCTATGGGACAGTGCCACCCTGCCACGAGTCAGAATCGGGTAGAGAGTAGCTAACAACAACAGACAATAAATAGCTGCTAAGCCAAAACCAACATAACAAAAGCTGGGTACTAATAGTGGTGGTGGCTGTGTACCACTGTGAGTTGACTTCAACTCATAGTGACCCTGTACAGGGTTGCCAAGACTATAACTCTTTATAGGAGCTGAAATCCTTATCTTTATGTGGAGTGGCTAATAGATTAGAACTGCTGACTTTGCGGTAGCTGGTAATCCACAATGCCACCAGGGTGTCTGGATCCCAGACGTTGCTGTTGATAGAGACCTTGTTGTTCTGTACCATCAAGTTCATTCTGACTCATAGTGACCTAAAGAACAGAACGAAACCCTACCCAGCCCGTGCCATCCTCACAAACACTGAGCTCTTGGCTGCTGCCACTGTGCTAGTCCATCTCGTTGGGGTCTTCCTCTTCATTGCTTGCTCTCTACTTTGCCTAGCATGATGTCCTTCTCCAGGCACTGGTCCCTCCTGATAATATATCCGAAGTAACAGAGACCTTAGGACGTCATTTTATCTGAGCTCTGATTTTGTCTACCTGCTTCCAAGAAGTACACGTGCTAACATCCATAATGAACATACATACATCAGTCCTTGGCAGAACAATGTACTTACTAAAACCAATGCTAGGTGACCTGGGCTGAAGGGGATAGGAAAAGATACAGCCACTTACACAAGTTCATTCTTCAGCCACCTAACCTGGAATCTGTGTGTCCTTCTAAACATTTCCGCATTTTATTCATCATGATACATAAAGGCTATTGCAGTGAATGTCAACAGAGTTAGTTACCATAGTTTCTTAGCTGAATATACTGTGCCCAGATTTGGAGTTCTGATATTTTAGGGGATCTTGCAGCATCTTCAAAGACAACCCAAAGAAATATAGTTTTAGAACAAAAGCCAGCTTCTGATAATGACATGAAAATTGCCAAATCTGTCGTGTCTTGTAGCTGAAGTGAGAGGCTCATTTGAAACCAGTCTTAAAGCAGTTGGAAAAACTCAAAATTCTTATTCCAGTAGTAGCAAGATGATTCAGAACACTGAAGATAATCTATTATTTTATTTCCTTATTTAAAAAAAAAAACAGTAGGAGTGATTAGTGCACTCAGAAGATACAAATATTCTATTTACTTGAACCCAAATAATTTCTATAGTATATTTAATTTTTTTTCCCTGGGGGCATTTCCCACTTCTTTTTATCAACTAAACTCTATAAAAAACATTAAGCTTTGATTCCAGCAAAAGAGACATTTTGTTTCTTTGTTGTTGTTGTTGTTGTTACGTGCCGTCGAGTCGGTTCCTTAGAGTCTTTTTTTTTCTGGGTTCCTCTTAAAACATGAGAATCACCCTCACCAGGACTTTTGAATGTGAAAGTAAGCCAGACAGAGCTTCTCTTTGGTAATTTTCACAGAATAAGTGCCTGATCTTCAAGCAAGGAATCTTTTTTCCCATACAATGAAATGGGAAAACACGAGGTGAAAAACTCTTTAAAAGGAAACCGGGGTAACCTGCCATCTGCTAGATACATTCCAATTGTTCAAGAAACACACACAGGGACTTTGATTCCATCCTACATTCCATACACTTTGATTCCACAGGAAAATTGGCAGCTTCCTGAAGTCATCAGAGTTTCCTGATCCTCACACCCCACCGCACCCCACCCCAGATAAACCTGTGACACCTGATGTAGACTCTTGGTTTCTCACCTTGACTTACAGAAAAATATCAAACCTGGCCTCATGTAGGGCCTCCTCCTGGTTATTTGCCCATTTACACAAAGCTGGAGAGACCCAGACAGGAGTAGAGGCTCAGATGGTGAGGCCAGCAAGAACGGAAGTGCCCACAGGTGCCTTCCACGTAGGAGGTACTCGGTGAACAAGAGTCTTTTTCTCTAGTGGTGTCTGAAGGAGCTCCTGAGAGCCACTGGGATCACTAAGGCCTATTTTGAGCTTCCAGATCTTTCAATGTTGATAAATGCAAGCTGGTGGTCAAATGATAACCTCAAAGAAAGAAAATCTGTGTACAGGAACTCAAAATTATGATATGACCATCCAAGCACACGGATTAAAAAAAAAGTCTGTTCTATACATGCATGTCACAATGTAGAGCACACAAGATGTGAAGATACTCGAATATGCCCTACCATCCAAGAAGGAGTTTGGGTGATACGATTGGTGTGGGGTCATCTGCTAACTCAAAGGTTGGTGGTTCTAACTAACCAAGCAAAGGCTTGGCGAGCTCCTGCCATAGAGATTATAGCCAAGAAAACGCTTGGAGCAGTTCCACTTTGTCCCACATGGGGTACCGTGAATTGATGACAACTTGACCACAGTTAATAACAGGGAATCCTCCAGAAGCTTAAGGCTTACTCAGCAAGACAAGAAAAAGGGTAATTTACACTACAGACAGCAGACAGAGGTATGCTTTCCTTGGAGTCTTGAGTCCTGGTGTGGTGCTGTCGGACTGGACCACAAGGTCTGTTTGAACTGCAAGGTTGGTGGTTCAAATGCACCAGCCACTCCTCAGAAACCCTATACAGGGTCACTGTGAGTCAGAACCGACTCAAAGGCACTTAACCACAATTACATCACTGTCGCATAGTTTGGAGGTACCCATTTCTTTATATTCTAAATTATTCTACTTTCTGTGGAAACCAAGTTTTGTAAAACTAAGAGTAGGAAAGGAGAGACCATTAACCTTCCAGGTGATTATCCTAAAGAGAAATACAGAGACTTCGTTACATATTCAATTCTTAATCAAAGTTGTATTCATAAATACTCATTTTTGGAACATCATCCTCTTCCAATTAACAGATTAGAACAATGCAACCCAAGACAGAAGCGGCAGATTCGCTCTGTAAACTGTCTGCACTGAAAAAGTAGGGAGACCAGAAAGTTGAGTCCAAAATGATCTTGAGTCGAACCATCCAGTGAATGTTTCCCAATGAGTTCTGTAAGGACAGGATTCTGTAGCATTATTTCATTCACAAAGGTTAACTTTCACCTAAATACAAACAAAACCCTGCTTTCATTAGCAATGCGAAACGATTCAGAGATGAAAGATTTTAAGCAAAAATGATCATCAAGTTTACATGATGGCAAGCTTACGTTTGAGAAAAGAATATCAAGTACACATAAGTGTGCTTAGCATGGGGCCAGTTGGATTTTTAAAATGCTCACGATTCATTTCAGAACATCACTATGTGATTGTCTGTATCGAAGTGCCTTCTGTAACATCATCTCCAGTGATCATTCTAAACCTCTTCTCTACCCAGGACCCTTTTCCATTTGATTTCTGCTCTCTTTTCACCTCCAGTTCTTAAGCTTGCCTCCTGTCACTCCCATACTTCGTATTGTGAATAAGCACCAAATGGTGATGAATATCCATTTTTGGCTAAGGGTAATAGCTTTAATTGTTGCTCATTGTGAGGACTTAATTCGATCCCATTTTATTTCAAATGTCAGAGTTCTGCCTCAGAAGTTTAGGACATAACAGTGTGCATTTGTGTTCACTAAATGACCCTTAGGGATTTACTATTGTGCTACAAGGGTTTTTGTTTTGTTTTTATTTTTTGCATTAGAGATATTCCTTTGAGTTTCTATATTTTCACAGAATTCCATCATAGAGTTTTTAGATTTTTTTAATCTAAATTATGAAGGCATAGCAATTTTTTTTATTGTAATCAGTATTATTTCACCTGTTTAAATGTAACTATCTTCTCAGAAGTATGGTTATAAGTTAAATATATTATTATACCTCTGATTTTTCAAGCAGTTCTTTGCTGTCTTAAACTGTTTTCTAGTTTTTGTTGTACTTGTCCTAGCCAAGTATTCCATATCCTCATTAACTGGGTTGGTCACTAATTGTAACTGAAAATACAGATAGAATGATTAAATATACATTATTTTGATACCCAAAGACACAGAATACCTTTTTAAAGGGTGTTTTCTTAGTATATTATGGTAAGTTCTTTGCCATAAATTATAATTTCAAATGTACTAGAGAATGTAGAATGGATGATAAGTTAGCCACTAGCGAAAGTTTGGTGGGATAAATATGGGAAATTCTAGAAAATAACTACTCAAATTAAAAATGTATTAAGATTGGAGTCTCATTCCACAATGGACGATCTCCACTAGCAGACTGAAGAGAAGAATTGAGGCAATTATCCACGTGATTCAGACAAAAAATAAAGATCCAAACCCAAACAGTTTTGCCTAAGTAATCTTGTGTTTGAATATTTTTTTGCCTGAATTTTTTGTCTCAGTTTGCCACTTCATTTTGTTAGGCTAGATCTGAACTGAAAATGACTTAACCAAAATTTTCAACTTGGGCAATATACTTAATACTATATTACTTTATACTCCAAAACTAACTTATCAGAAGTTCTTCAATCCTGTGGCCCTTAAAATTGTGCTTTTTTTTTTTTTTTTTAATTTATTTTCTGAAGCAATATAAAAAATGCTTATGGTGTGTATGCAAGCTGCTGTTTTAATTAACTTTCCTGAATTTCAAACATCTATATTTTACTCTCTTATATGCTTTTAACTAAGGTATAGTAGATGCATTTTTGCTTCAATACTAATTAAGGTGTAATATTCATTTCTTTAGAGAACATTTTTGTTGTTGTGCATGCCTAGTGTTTTGTACGTTGTATATTGCATTCAGAATATTTTTTTCCTTCTCACCTATCCACAATGCAATGCCGTTCCCATGATGCACCTCTGCTTGCTGTTTACCTGTATGTTAATTCGCTTGAATCCCATTGGCCCACTGCCATCATGTGCTCGCTGCCTGTTATTAAAAGACTCAGTCGACTGCCAAAGCAATGAAGCGACCTCTCGAAGCAACTGTAGACCTGGTACTTTGACCTTTCACCTTTCGCTTTGCATGTAGCTTTTCAGAGAACCATCTGAGATTTGTATTACTAGTAAAATATTGGTTGCAAACAATCATTATTATTAATTTATGGACAAAAAAAGTTCAATAAAGTGTCTAGCCATCTCATTTCATATGTAATATGTGAAATAAATTAATCCTAACAAAATTTAATACCTCTTCCAAAAGAGTGAAGCAAATTTAAATTACTTGGCTCAGAAAATGTTCATTATCATTCTAATTAACCTGTAAATTCAAGAAATGACCATTTCGTTAAAGACAAGAATAGGTATTAATAACACAAATGCTTCCTTTCCCCCTTAGACTAGATTAACTCATTTTAAAAGCCGAAAACATTTTTTTGTTGCTTGATAGTTGTTCTTTTCCTGAGTTGAGATGCTACCGTATTTTTTGTTGGTTTTTTTTTGTTTTTGGATTACAGAAATCATGCTTTCGCTCTCAATAACGAATTCTCACTCATTTTACATTGCCGCTGTTTAAATTAAGGTGCATGGCGGAGGCATCTCCCTATAGCTGTCATTTAAAAAAAAAAAAAAAAAAAAATGTTGCAATCGATTATATCTGTGGACACTGGCTGTGTTTGCTATAAATTATACATGTTTTATCACATTCTTCATTTGTAGGCCTTTCCTCCTGGTGCTCTTCATCCTTTACCAAAGAGACAAGCACTAGAAAAAAGCAACGGGGCCAATGCAGTCTTTAATCCCAGCGTCTTGCACTACCAGCAGGCTCTAACCAGCGCACAGCTGCAGCAACACGCCGCCTTTATCCCAACAGGTACGTGCCCTTCCGGTTTCCGGTCTTGTGTTCATGTGCCCTTCCGGTCATGTGCTTCCTTCTCATTTCTTTAAACTGTTTGGTGGCATCTAGTTTGCTCATAAAGGTACAGTACAGTCTGAAACGCATTGTTCTAGCTATCTAGATGTACTAACATTGCTTTGAAAGATAGCTAGCTATAAGACTGTTAAGGAATCTAAAGCCAAATATTTCGTAAAGTTAAGTGACAGATGTAGCCACTGAGAAACACGTAGCAAATAAGGGCTTCTCGTTTCTGTATATTTACACAAGCCGTGGGAAATTGTTTATGTAAATAGGACCTTTAATGTGTGACAACTGAAACTTGTCATTAACACTAATGACCTAAAAATACCAAGGGTAGGAAATACTAACCTTCTCCTATTTCTATTCAGAACACTAAAAACAGCAACAACATAAACTTGGTTATTCAAATTAAAACATACTCATATTTTTATATTCCTTCCATCTGTTTCTCCAACCCTCTCCCCTTGTACCAAGTTCTCAAGTATCTAGACCTCTTACCGGTGATTTTAAGTCAATATCTGATACTGTTAGGTGCTGAGGTACATTAACTCTGTCAGTCCACTAGGATCTATTATCTTAATCATAGAAGCTTGGAATTTAAAGGGTTCGTGGTGATCCAATTGACTGTTTTACAGATGAGAAAACTGAGGCTCCTTCAGTGTGAAGTGATGTCCCAAGGTGGCACAACCCATGAGAGCCTATCTTCCAGATGATCAGTCCAATTTCCATAACATGGCACTACTTGGCCGCCATATATGGTGTCTGTAGGTTTCTCCATTACAGCAAGGCACCAAAAATCAGACAAAAGAGAACACACAAAAGGACAATCAATGCACGTCATTTCATTTCTTTTTGTCACCTACATCCCCACCCACAGACACACATACATCATAGGCCATAAACAAACACACACAGACCACACCAACTGTGGAGTTTTGACCTTTGCATCTGTGATGTAACCAGAAAGTGACTTAGTCTTTAGTAGAAAACCCATCCATGGAGTTCTTAGTTACTGAGTCAAAATTCTCCATCTCGTGATAGAGAATAAAGGACAAATAGAGATCAATGACAAGGCTAATCGAAATAGCTTGTTGATCTTAGTCAATATGTGTATCATCTAAATCCTTATATTCCATAGCCCATCCCGAGTGAACACCCGAGGGAATTGAATAAATATGTCTGTGATCATCTCTGTATAAAATCTACACTTTGAAATGAATTCTTAACCTACTAACAACAGTAGTTGCTATAATGAATTACGAGTTATATAAAGTCAAATGGTTTGGAGGGGGTTAATTCTCCTGTTTCAGTTCTGCACTTATCTGCAAATAAACAAATGCATAGACCAGAAGGGTGAAGTGTCTAGCTGAGTCCTTTCTGGAGGCTTCACTCTTGCCTCATTAAGATCTTAATGAGTGACACGCCAGTGTAGCTATAACACAGCACTATCTGGACTTGTAATCCATTTGAAATGAGATTCTTGTAAGTAATCACTATAAGGTAGACTTCCCTTGGTGTCCTATGGGATTCCTATAAGTGTCTCATTATTCACATCTTGATTTCTAGATATTTTAAGAGGAAAAAACCTTAGGAAATATATTCTGAGGGGAAGACATAGAAGGACAAGTTTGTTACTAAAGAATGCGTAAGAATGCCACCATCATGTCATGGGAGCCAGTTGGACAATAGACCTCAAGGTCCTCTAGCTCATATTTAATACTCCAGTCTGATAATGACTGATTTGTTAAGTCACTGAAAGAATCTGCATTTCAAAATACTTCACCTGGAAGCCACTTAAGGATTTTCCAAAGCAAGGATGACTGTCATTCTTTATGCAGTGACCTGATTTTATTGTTAAAGTATATTACATGCAGGACTTCTATGGGGTGCTGGCTGCTGTGGTTGTGTACTTCTGCCCTCTGCTGGATTCTTTAAGCAATGATCTCGTGTGTCCAGCAACACTCCATTCAGAACACTTCAGAAACACAAAAAATGGGTCCTTGCCCACTTACTTACTGTACATTACATGTGTTTCTTAAAGCATGAGCTCAGTATAATGTGGACTACCACGTGGATCTTGTGTTCCTAAATGGTATTGCAACTTTAAGTGTTCACATGTAACTATTATGTGATAAAAAAGAAAATAATTTTATTCAAAGGAGATGCTCAGACTCTTTCCCCACTTAATTCCCTGACAGAAATTTCAGTGTTCATTTTAGCCTTAGTTTTCTTTGCAGGCTTGCTTTCTCATGGACTTACATTATCAACCCTATTAAAAAAAATAATGATATTAATCACCATTTTAAAAAATTATTATCATTATTGTTTTAAGCCTCTGCAAATTAAATAATACATTAAAAAACATTTGCTATTATATGGAGATGGTCAGTTCATTATACTTAAACTGCCAGGTTTTGGTTTTTCTAGAACTACTTCTTATTAACAATTATTATAATAAGAAACAAATTATGTTCTCCCAGGGTCCCCCTTTATTGTAAAGTTATTCATAGTAAAGTTTTCAACATGCTCCTAAAATTCCCCCATTGAAACAACAATGTTAATTGGAGCAGGAGTTAGGAACTCTTCCAGGCTGGGAAGACGTTAATGTAACACATGTAAAATAGGGGACTCTTCTCAAAAGCCATACTAATAGAATTATCACCCTAGTCGATGCCCTAGCATATTTGCAGTGGGTGGGACTTTGCTCTTTTTTTGACAGGGACTATTGTAACCTAGTTGTTGTAATTCTTTGCTGTGTTAGGAAAGTAGTGAAAACCACACATACGATCATGAATAACAGCAGCATTGTAACTAGCATTTCTCAAACTGGTTTCTTCTGAATTACCGCAAATATCTTACAGACATTATCTTGTTCATCTCCAAGATGTTGCAGTTCTGTCCGTGGCAGGCATAATTTTTTGCATTTTCAGATGGAAAAACTGAGGCTGTGTTTATACTGGCAATGTAGAAACATATAATCCATGGAATTATCCAGGTAATCTTGATTCACAGATCCTACAGTTGAAACATTTGTGCAACTGAGGCAGAAAACATTTGGGAAGGCTTTGTCAGTTAAATTCGTGCCTTAGTTCAATGCCTCAGCCAGTCAAAATGATGGCAAAATAGTGACTCCCTCCTTGATTTATTATATTGGAAAGTAGAACAGGGAAAAAAAGGCTAGCTCACATATTGCCTAAGATTCTATAAAGCTGTCTTACAAGTTGATGAGAGATTTACAAATTGGACTGTGAACCTCAAGGTCAGCAGTTCAAAACTACCAGCTATTCCATGGGAGAAAGATGAAGCTTTCTGCTCCCGTAAAGATTTACAGCCTTGGAAACTCTGTACAAGGTCCGTATGAGTCAGAACCAATTCCACGGCACATAACAACAACAACAACGCAACCACAACAAAATATTAACATAAGCATCACATTAAATTTAGCAAGGAGAGCACAATGGCCCTCTAGGATAAGCACTGGACTATAAAGTTCAAGGCTGTTAGTTCAAGTCTACCAGCTGCTCCTCCGGAGAAAGATCAGGCTTTCTGCTCCCACAAAACTATACAGGGTTACTAGGAATTAGAACCAACTCAACAGCACTGAACATCAACAACATCAAATTTAGCAAGTATTTCTTAAACACATAGTATGTGCTGAGTTTCAAAGCTAGTGTGGAGACTACAAAGGACTTCAGAAGCTAGGTGCAAAGGCAATGTGTTACAGGGTACATTTTGAGATGTGAGCAAACCTGTGTGAAAGCGACAGAGGGAGGCAACAGTGTGTGCAGGAGGCAACTTTGGAGCTGTTGTCAGTGAGGGAAGAGCATCCCAGTCAGGACGGCAGCATGCAATGGGAAGGGTGCAGCTAAGGAATAGAAAGCTGTGCATTATCCACCTGCAGCCAGGACAGAGTACGATGAAAAGGCAGAAGTATGACTTGCAAAAATGACCAAGGAGACATTAAAGTAAGGCTGCTATACATATGATACAAGCTGTTTGTTTTCAGTGTTCACATTAATGTGGTTGAGCATTTCAGCCACGTCCTGGGTAGGTGCCCAAAGTATATAACCAATATCAGCCCATATGGCTTCAGGAGCCGTAACACCCAGGACATCCACATTCATGGTACATGAAGGCCCTCAAGATGCATGGGAATGCATTTCCCATGGGAATACAAGGGACTGAGTGTGGATTTTTATAGGAAAACTTTGAATCAACCATGGTGGACTTTAAAGTAAAATCATTCAAAAAATAGGTACTTGAATTGTTTTTCGGAACAGTTTGCTCCAGTACACCCGTGTAGCACCGTAGGGTAAGCAGTCTACCACAAGGCTGGTTTGAACTTCAAGGTCAGTGGTTCAAACTCACCAGCCACTATTTGGAAACCCTATACAGGGTTGCTATGAGTCAGAACCAACTCGATGGTACTTAGCAACAACAGCGACACCTCTAACTAACGATTAAGACAAATGTGCCCAATAAGCTAGACAAACCTGATCTTTGTCCTTATACACTGATATTGAAAGATAAGAGATGGATGTTACATAAATATTCAAATTTATACTTAAAAAATCAATTTTGTAAGGATAAATAAATCTATCTTGGAAGAAGTACAGCCAGAATCCTCCTCAGAAGCAAGGATGGCGAGACTTCATCACCAAGTAGACTTTGGACCTGTTATCAGGAGCGATCAGCCCCTACGGAAGAGCATCATGCTTTTTAAAGCAGAGAGTTGGTGAAGAAGAGGAAGACCCTCAGTGAGATGGATCAACACAGAGGCTGCAAAATGGACTCAAACATAGGGACAGTTGTGAGGATGACTCAGTGGTTTTTTTCTGTTGTCACAGGGTTGCAAAGAGTTGTAAGTGACTTGATGGTCTACAACAATAACAACAACATAAATTTAAAAGCAAAGGTTTCAATGATATGTTGAAAACATAAAACGGATTTGGTGGCCCAGGGAGATAGCTGAAAGGACTATCGAGCAATTTTCTAAAGAACTGACATTTCCCTTGAGATCTGAAAGAGAAAAAGAGCAGGACAAAGATTATTCTACAGAATGGAAACCGCCAACCAAGGGGCTTCCAAAAGTTTATGGAAAAATTCCTTTATGTCTTAATTCCATTTTCCATAAATTTATTGAGGCTCCTTTACATATAAATCCCAAAAGTAGGACAAGAAACATGTGATGTCTTCAGTTCATAATAATGGAATGCTGAACAATCTGCCTAGATATTAGTGTTAGGGGAAGAAGAGGCTGAGCTGAAGAGGTAGAGGACCATTACCCTTAAAGCTCTATGCTGCCACTGAATCATTTCCAGCCAAATGACAAGAATGCATCAGCAAAGGTTTACTCTGCCAGCAGAGTGGATGCTAGGCCAAGGAAGTCAGGAACAGAAACAGAAAGACCCAATAAGAAGTCATTGAATAACCAAGGCTAGAGATGTTGGTGACCAGTACTTTGGAAGTATCAGAGATGAGCAAACAGACATTTGGATGGATTTTAGAAGCAGAATGACTTTGGTTGGTTTGGTGAGTTGGACCTGGGGAACTCCAAGAGGTAAGGGGGTGTTGGGTATAACTTTTCATTTAGGCTAGAACCATTAGATAGATAGCTTGCTAGTATTTACTGAGGTGGAGAAACAGGTGTCTGTCGGGAAGATCCAAGTTTAGACCTGTTAAACTGGAAATACTTGCAAGACATTCAAATAGCTAGGTGAGCAATTAGACCAAAGGATCGAGAGATTACAGAGAGATGTGAGCAAGATACATAAATCTGGGAACTGGGAACTCATAGATAGTGTTTAAATACATGGGTTGAGTGTTATACCAGGAAAATGGAGAGTAGATGAAAAGGACCCAGAAAGCGTCTGAAAAACTCCAGCATATTGAGTTCAGAGAAGGAAGAGCATCTAAAAAGACAAAAAGGATTTACTGGAAAGGAAAAAGAATGTGTATGAGAAAGAAAAGTGTATCATCAGAGACTCCAAGTGAGAAAACCGGTTTCCTGCGAAGGGAAAGGCCCACCTCTCAGTGCTACTGTGAGTTAAGAAGTTGGATGAAAATGGAAATGTCCCTGCTGGTCTTAGCAATATACGTGTAGCAGTGAGCTTCAAAACCAGATTGGAGAGGACGAAGAGTGAATACTAGTAAGGCAGTAAAAAATGATATATAGGTAAAAGATGTGAGAGAGATCGGACTGGAGAAAGATAGGGTGTCATGAAGGAATTTTGAGTGTGTGTGTGTGTGAGAGAGAGAGAGAGAGAGAGAGAGAGAGATTGGGTATATTAGCTCATGTCTACTGAAGTGAAGAGTCTGATATAGCCTAGTTACATAGTCTTTTATTCTTAAATAGTTAAGGATGTTAGCCTGATAAAATGTAGACCAGCAAGAAGTCTCCTTCAGATGTGAACAGCTCAGCAGTGAAAATAAAGACCAACACATCTCAGATTCTTCATCTAGTATTTCAGGAAGCAGTTCTAAAACCCTAAGTAGGTAGGCCTACACTCACATGGCACCTATATGACTCCCAATTTTCAGTTATCTAAATCCTGGTGTGGCGCTATGGGGTAAAGCACTGGCCACAAGGTCATTTTGAACCACAAGATCAGCAGTTCACTCACCGACCACTCCTTAGAAACCCTACACAGGGTCGCTATTAGTCTGAGCCAACAACAACAAACCTTTACATTACCTTGGTTTTTGTTCTAAGGACTTGAACAAGAAGCAGAGAATTCGTCAAAGCTTTACTTAATACAGTTCTCTTACAGCCTCCATACCATGCATTAATACTCATGGTCAGGTTTTTCTGATGCAAGTGTATTCTTAAGATCAACCTCAGCTAAAGCAACTATTTCAAAGGAAGGGTAGACATCCCCTTCCTTACCTCTCACCTACCCACTTAGACACCACGTGGAGATTTCCTAGGAGTTTTACCAGAGACCTTCATCAAGGCCAACTTGTAGCAGCCAGCCAAGCATTCCTTGCCCTGGTCCCAGCTCACCCACAGTTCTACCTGCTGCATCTATGTGGTGTGCACTCTTTATCACTATCAGCACTTTCCTCTTGTAATGATTGAGCAGCAGAAAACAGATCACACACACATCTGAGCCATTCATTACAGGGATCCCACTCTTTCTTGGTTACTGGACTTTCTAGTGGCCAGCAAAAATTCACCTAACTCTCAAGCATTTGATTTAGAAGACAGTGGATCTTAATTAGCCCCCCTCCAAAATAAAACATTGCTGCTTCAAATGGGCAACATGGCACCACTACCCAAAACCCAAACCCATCACCATCAAGTCAATTCCACCTCATAGCCACCTTATCGGACAGAGTCTAACTTCCCCATAGGGGTTCCAAGGTTGTCACCTCTTTCTCCCATGGAGCACCTAACCCTACAACCTTTTACTTAGCAGCTGAGTGCTTCACCAGTGCACCACCAGGGCTCCTTCATAATATGATAAACTCAGTGTAATCTAGTGAACACAGAGCCAGACCTGCACTTGGGAACAGGCTTCTGTTTCTAGCCTTCTCCTTGACTGGTCCTGTACACGACCATGGAGGAGATGCTATGCCTCAGATTTTGCCTCTGTAAAATGCCCACTTCCAACCTTGGAGCGCTAACTTGATAATGTCTGTAAGATGCTTAGAGGTTTTAGAGGAAGGCTACTACAGCGTTATTAAATGTCCTTCTTGTTAGAGCCATGCCAATGTATAGGACTAAAAAGTGGGAAAAGTAGTATCAGGAGTGAGCTTTGAATGATATTTGGCTTAAAAATGAAGTCAGGTCTATTTGTGTCAGTACTGCAAATGGGAATGGTCCTAAGACTGTGTAACTAACCCTACTTATTTCTGGTTGTGCTTCGATCTCACTTTGAATGTTAACTCTAAACCGCTAACCTGTTTCTTTCCCTTTATTCACTCTCTCCACCTACCTCTGCATGCCATACAGGGTCACTTTTGTGCATGACACCCGCTACCAGTATTGGTAGGTTCCAACCTTTTTTCATTTGTCTTTTATATGATGTACAGTATCTTCACTTGCTTGAAATATATGTCAGAGTTGGTAGAAATGTGATAGGAAGTGGACAGTCTATTTGGCTTTAGAGTTACCATAGGGGTTTTCGTATTTACAATGTACTTGGACATGTAAGAAAACGATGATTTTAATGTGAACACCTCTGTTAGAACAGCCACGAGAAAACCAGAAAACCGCAAGCACTAGTCTGCCAGATATTTTAATGATGGGTATTTTGTTTCTCTTTCTATGTCCTATGGTTTAGTTCCTTTATCAGAGAGGCAGGTTAAGTTCATCAATGTTTTAAAGTTTCATAGTGGTGTGCCTTTACCTCCTCTTTGCTGTGTGTTAGTTATCAGAGTTTCCCAGAAGTATTTATTTGAAAAATTACAAATAGATGTATTTTGAAACCAAATGTCTGAACTGCCTTGCTGGATCCTTACTATGTCAGCGTTAAGTGTTAGTTGGTTTGCGATGGTGAACACTACCTGAACATTCTCCTGGATGTTAAATTTTGACAGCTAGTAGTTATCCTCACACTTTGAAAGACCTTGGTGCAAACCTAAAATCTGTCTTTAGGACATGGAGCTTCGTTCCATTTAGAAAGAAAACAGACATTGGTAAAAATTTGTCTGGCTATTTCACAGGAAGTGCATTAAAATTTCCATCAAGGTCATGTTTTTTTGATCCCAAAAATAAACCGTAATCCACAGCACTTCCGGTTCAAATAAGCAGTGCTAAATTGGAAAAAAAAAAAAATTTTTTTTTTTTCCTATTTAACCACAATTCATTTCAAAGAATGTCGTATTCCAAATTGGCCTATACAGGGAATCTTTGATATTTCAGATTTGTGATTAAAAATGAGTATCCTGTACTCTGACTTCATTGGACATTATATTTCACGTGTTTAGAAACAGCCATTATTACATGCACCACCTACTCTCGATTTGGAATGACCTGTTATTAGAACTATGTTTATAAATACATCAACCAAAGTGATGTGCTTTGGCCTTTCTGGGAATCACTGATTATGTTTTAAAACTTCCTTTAATTGTACTTGTAATAAGCTATTTTCCCTTTTTTATTTCTCTCCCATGCTCCCTTGCTTTGCATTGTGATCGCATGCCATCTGCTGGTTTAACCCATGATGGCTTGCTGCTCTGATATTCACCATGCCAAACACCACTTCTATTACCATAATGCTACACCCTCCTGTTCATTGCTCCCATGGTTCCCCTCCTGAAAGTACCCATGATGCACAGCGCTACGTCCGCCACTGTCTCTGCAGCAACAACTCCTCCAACAAGTGTCCCCTTCGCAGCAGCAGCCACAGCCAATCAGGTTTGCTCCTTTTAAAGCTTTTCTTTCACAAATCCCAAACTCTAAATGAGTGCTGATATTTTAAAAAAAAATTCTCGGTGAGAATTTTTTTTCATGTTTATCCATCAAATTTTATTTTTTTTGATTAGTTTATAGCAAGCATTTGTGGACAGGTTGCACTTATTTAGAGTTAACATTTACTGCAAATAATGATGTAGCTATGTTTTGTGTTGCACTGTTTGTTTTCGTACCTAATATTGTGTAATTAACCTGACAGGCTTACATTCCTTGTAGCACAGTGTCACATCCGGTGGTTTGTGAATTGCTGTATAAGAATTGTACACGCTGCAGCCCCCAGGGTCAAAACTGGCTGTCTATTGATTCTGTTCATTCAGACCCTATCATTCTCTGGTTCAGGAAAATAGTCTTCTCTTAGAAAAGTTTCCCCTTGCTCTGTAGTGTCAAATGTGAAGCCTGAATAATTCTCATTAACAGTTCCTATGGGCTCCCGCTTTACCATCTGTGTAGGCACTGATGGAAGAGTCAAAGCATTCTCAAAGGGGAGTACCAAGCCAGTGGACTCACAAAGACCGGATACAGCGGGCTAGGGGGTTGTCACTCTGTTGTTGCTAACGCATGTTCCAATGAGACCATGATGTGCTGTTTCTGAGTGAGGGGCCCATTGGCTCTTCTCCGCTCTGTGGTCACAGGCTGACTGTATTCTGGCCACAACGAGACAATGTGAGGATGGGTCTGAATACTCCTGCTCCACCTAGGAAGAGATGCTATCGTGCATGATCTGCCTTCTTAAAAGAATCATTTTGTTTTGAGTTTTTTGTTTGGTATTTAAATAAAATTAACTTTGCTGGCTAAAGGTAATCGGGAGTACAGGTACAGGCGAGAGAGAAGGTGCAAGTTAATGGGGAAAATCAAGCATCAAAGGCGTAGTAAATGGAAGATTCCAAATTGCATTCTGTAGTTGGGGAGGGCTTGACAAAGAGATTTTAAATGCAATAGGTTTCATCACTAAATGGATGGGTATGAATGTTCTGGAAAGCAGGAATCAAAGTAAAACCCCCTGCCTACTCCTACTGGCCCCCTGCATTGGGGTAAAGTGGGAAACAGTGAAGAGACCACGTGAGCAGCTCTGAGACAAACACCAACTCACCCTCTAAGGAAAACCACCTTAGCTCCAGAGCAAATCCAAACAGTCCCCAGGTTACAAATGAGATCCGTTCCTAACCGTGTTTGTAAGCCTTTAAGTGGAATTTGCATTGGAGTCAGAACAACACGTGCATGTAGTCCTCATTTACCCTTATTTCATGCAAGAAAACTTGTGAAGCCTATGTGTAGCAGGTGACAGTGATGGTGATGAAGATTTTGTTGTGAGCTGGGGCTGGGTCAAGTCATTTCCAAGTGAGGGCAAATTTACATAGCGTTAAAGGGCAAGTGCGAGTTGTCCAGAGTCAGATGTTCTTGAAGCAGGTATCGCTTGTGTAACAAAGAACAGAAGATGCTAAAGTCCGTAGCTGGGAAGACTTCATTTTTTAATGCTAAGATGGGGAAAGAGAAGGAATCTATTTGCTTCGTTTCATTGTTGTTGATAGTACCATCGAGTCAGTTTATACTCATAGCGACTCTCTATAGAATTTCCAGGAAGTGGCATCGTGGGTTTGAGCTGCTGATCTTTTGCTTCAAACCAACCTTGCTGTCCAGTACATTATCCCACAATGCCATTCCAGGACTCCTTCTTTTCATTATTTGGGTCAAAGTACCTCTTTTCATTTGCTCATTCTTAATAAGCAAACTGTATAGCTGATTCTTTTATTTCTAAGTCCTACCTCCTTAAACTCTTGTTGATGAAATTGTTGACACAATTTTGTTAGCAGTCCCTTCATATCGGCAATTCAAACTGCCCAGCCACTCCTTGGAAACGCTATACAGGGTCATGATGATTCGAAACTGACTCGATGGCTCTTAACAACAACAGCATTTGTTACAATGCAGTTTCACCCACACTGACTTGACAGCACTTAGCAATAGCAAAATGACAAAGTACCACTTCTGACACAGGTATCTTTCCTAGGAAAGGAAGTCAAGATGAAGACATACTTTGTAGTTTTAGGATAAATTTCTTTATTTATAAATATGTGTAAGTTCTCATTTACAAATATTTGGTCTTGTGTCATGTATGTTTTGGTAGAAACAAAATGAGAGATTGCATAAGTATGTGCGCATCTGAATATGTGTGGGTACTGACGATAAAAAACATGGAATATTCAAAAGCTAAAATATATTACTTTAAAGCTGGTAAAGGAATTAACAAATTTAACTTCAATTAAATCCAAAGATGTGTAGTTATAGGAGGACAGGAAAATTGCTCTAAGATTCCTAGGTTCTGTAATTTACAGTTTATCCAACATATGGCAATAGTTGTGGGACTTACGAGTCTTGGTGTAGGTCTGTGGGATAAAGCCCTGGACCGCAAGGTCAGTTTGAACCACAAGGTCAGTGGTTCAAAGTCCCAGTCGCTCCTCTGAAACCCTGTATAGGGTCACTGTGAGTCGGAATCAACTCGATAGCACTTAACAAAAACAACAACCCAAATGATGGAGAAAAGTCCTTTCACACAACTTTTGAAGAAGATCTCCTTAAATGTGCAAACCATCCTGGTGTGGAACTGTACAATAAGCACTCAACTATAAAATCGGTTTGAACTGCAAGGTCAGCGGTTCAAACTCACCAGCTGCTCCTCAGTAACCCTATGCAGGATCACTATGAGTCAGAAAAGACTCAGTGGCACTTAACAACAACAGTAAACGTAAGTTTTTGAATATGATGTACTCTATATATTTTCAACAAGCATCAAAGAACTTGGAAATCCTTTTCGTGTCCACGGTTAGGAAACACTGAAATCACTGATGTCTGCAAGGTGACAAGTTATAATCGTACTAAGATTTTGCCTTTTTGATTAAAATGGAATCATATCTATAATGTGGTACTGTAGAATAAGCACTGGACTACTAACTGCAAGGTTGGCTGTTCAAACCCACCAGCTGCTCTTCAGAAACCGCTATGAGTCAGAACGGACTAGAAGGCACTTAACAATATATATGAATTGTATAAATCACTTACATTCGATGAAGCCCAGTTTCCTCATTTGTAAAAGGAAGTAAGCTCTTAGAAAACTTTCAGAGTCCCTTCCAACTCTTGTACTCCATGAACCTGTAGACTCCAATGTTGGTTATTCTCCACTCAAAGTATAAGCTAATGAGCCACAGCTCAGTGAATGAAAAGCATCCTCTCTCCTTTTCTTTCATTGAATGAACTGTCTTTAATAAAATAGAGCAAATTTTTGACAGTTTTTTTCCCCCCCAGTTAATTTGATCAGTGCAAACTGTCAGTTCAAATATTTCAAATCTCACAGGTACTTAACTAGGATACAATTCATTCGTAGAAGAAAGGTGATATACTAAAAGCGCTGAAGCAGGCTCTTCAGTCAGTTTACCTTTACATGTTGCTAAGGTCTGACCGAGCCCCATAGTAGGCTGAGATGGAATACAGAAACTACGTGCTCTGTTCTCAGGGTTCAGGGTTCAGTCAGTGTCACAAGGGAATGCTGCAACTGAGCTGTGACCTGTTGTTTGAATTGAAATCAAGGCAGTTCAGATTCAAATTACATTCTAATACATTTAAGAAATATAAAATTATTTGGTTGTTGTTGTTTCTAACTGTAGAAATGAATACACACACACACAAATACAGCAAGTGGAATTACAAAGAGCCTAGTAGCATTTATCATTTCAGTTAAGGTCTTTAGATTTAATATGTAATTTGTACCTAATATTATTATTATTTACATCCTACTTATTATACACAAAGTACTATTCTAAATAGTCTTTCATAGTTAGAATAGTACTTTGCATATAATAAGTGTTGTGTCATGTCTTATATATTATGAGAGAGAATACATAGCTATGATAGAAATACCCACTCAAACTTTACAATGTTATGAAATCAGTGCAATTATCATTATCCTTGGTTGTGGTGATGTGCCGTGGAGTCGGTTCCGACTCATAATGACCCTGTACAGGGTTTCTGAAGCTGTAAATCTTTACGGGAGCAGAAAGCCTCATCTTTCTCCCGAGGAACAGCTGGTAGTTTCGAACTGTTGACCTTGTGGTTCACAGCCCGATTCGTAACCACTACACTACCAGAGCTCCTTAGTTTACAGATAAAGCAGCTAAGACACAGGTTTACTACCTTTTACCTTGCTGTTGATCAACTTGGTTCCAAGTCATTGACCCTGTATAGGGTTTCTGAGGCTTTACATCTTCATGGGAACACAAAACCTCATCTTTCTCCTACAGAGTGACTGGCGAACTTGAACCTTGGACCTGTGGTTTGCAGTCCAATGCTTATCATGTTGGGCCACTGTGCTACCTTTTCTTCCTTCCTATTGTTAAGTGCCATCAAGTCTGTTCCAATTCATAGCGACTCTGTATAGGGTTTCCAAGGAGCAGCTGGTGGGTTTGAACTACTGTCCTGTGGTTCAAACCAACCTTTCGGTTCAGTGCTTTATCCTGCAGCGCCACAATAGCTGGTGAATGAATGGTCTTGCTGGTGAATAGTATTTAAATACCCCAAAGTCATCTCCTCCACAAAAATAAAACGAGGTTTAGTATGAGATTCCATTATAACAAACTTTTTTCCATAGTAGGAGATGAAGGAACCTTGCCAATACAGTTCACACTAGGGCAAATCCTAAACTGAGGGGGAAAAAAGCTACAAGATTGTTTTGAGTCTAGCTTCAAACTGTTTCCAGAAGCCATATCTTTGACCTAGTGAAGTCTATGCGCTATGACAACCAAGCTCTAATTCTTGGTTATATGGATTTGAAACATTTCTATAGACATCAGATAACAGCATTAGTCTTAGAGAAGTAGATTCGTGACTTTCTTTTGTATGAATCACTGCTACAGTCTTTATTCCTTGCTTTTGCCTGTCTTCTCACAGATAGC